TTAGCATCCTAGAGAGGGAAGCAGGTGCTCTCTCCCCATGACCACAAAGGAGTTTCAGCTATGGCCTTTTAGAATCCAGGGTGCTGCTAGGAAATAAGGCTGGTCCCAGACAGACAAAAGTGGGAAGTGATGAATTCCACAAAGTGGGAAGTGAAACAGAGGATAGTGAAATCAGGTGGCTTCCCTTGCCTATCATTCTCTCAAACCTAAACCTGGGAGGTATTTAGATAAAAAGGGAACAGAAACCCTTTAAAATGGTCAGGTTTAGAATTACCATTTTGCAACCTACTGTAAATGGGTCTGTGTATTGCATGTTAACATCCACAAACACCACAAAATGAGATGGTTTAGCATCATTGTCTTATGAAGAACACACACCATCTGTCCTTTCCTAACACAATGAACTTCACCTGATCAAACCTGTAGATTCCACTAGCAATTTATAGGAAATACAGGAGAGGAACATGCTCAACGGTATCATAAATCATACAAACAGAAAAATCTAGACTTTAGGAAACTATAGAAACAAATAATTTGGTTTCTTCAACAAGAAAAAATAAAGAAATGGAGGTGGAACCCAAATGTGTGTGGAATTCACAGTTGGCACAAAGATCAATCACAATGTGTGGACATTACACGAATCTTGATTCAAATGACACACAAACACACACACACACTAGACAAATCAGAAATGTGAACACTGGGTATACGATTATAAGAAATCATTATTCATTTAGATACAAATATAAATAAAGCATTAAATAAGAATATTGAATCCAAAAAAATACTTTACAGAGGAAATGTGAGAAACCGCTTTACAAAATGTGTCAGCCAATAAAAGCAGAAGTAATAAATTATCATGATTTTGCAGCCCTATCTTGAGCCCCATGACCATATTATAAGGATTCAGCAAAGATTTTTCAGAGATCGATAAAAGTTGTTAGCAAACAGGAATAGACAAAGTCTCCAATTATTTTTTTACAGATTATTCACTGATTACAAAAGGAAAACTATTTTTACAATGAAGAGCTGTCTATGGGGAACCTGACACAGTAAGAAGCGCATATTGTTGCCTTTATGGACTTTTTGTCAACAATGCCGACGTTGAATCTACTCATGAGGAAATAAGACAGTATGTTAATAATTAGAAAATCCATATGAACATTACAGGCATGTTCTTTGTATTGCACTTTCACATTTTCTCTGAGTTTGGAATTTTTAAAATAAGGTCGGTGAAAAATATTGTTTCAAGTTTTGCAAGATTTCTACATTACAGAAAACAAGTAAGTAAAAAGGCCAAGGTAAGTCTTGTGTTAAAATCAATTCATCAAAGCAAGTATAGCAAAAGTTAAAGTAGAATTCTACCTGATCTTCCCCTGACCCAAAGCCATATCCTCTGTGTGACCTCTATTTTGTTACAGCAATGAACAATGTAGTTCTTTCCTGACTCCATTAGGTCATGACACGAAAAAGAAGCAAAAAGACAAAGCTGACAAAGCACATTTACTGGCTCCAGAAATAAATTCAAGATCTGGAGGCAAATTCTAAACTTTCAAAACTTGATTTTCATCTTTATGAGAAGAGTTTTATAATCCCTTATACTTTTTAATCTAGAGGGAAAAAAAGAACCTGTGGAAATTCTATTTGAAAAACAGCATGTTCTCTTCTTTAATATTTAGGAACCCAGAACAAAACAAGTTAAAAGTACATTTTCTTAATTAATAATTTATCATACATGAAGAAACTGAATTTAAAAATTTGACATCATGAACTAAATCCAATGAAGCATCATAGCATTTTTTGGTTTTATTAAAAATAGCCAAATATTTCATGCATTTGAAAAACACAATGAGCCAATTATGGATTTAAGTGAAAGATTATATACCACATAATCCTTCCACTTTTCTATAAGTACTCTACTGGTTCAGATCACCTTTTGCATTCTTGGGTGTCTGCTTCACAGAATGTACAAGAGCACTGGACTGCACTATCTACCCTCTTGAGAAGGGTTAACGCCCACAGCAAACTATGAAATGAATGAAGAGTGTAAAGCCTATTATCTGTATTTGTACAGTGGCAGCAGAGAAGTGATGTTTGGTGAAACAGACATCCCATGGAGAGTCGATCTCCCAAAACTTCCACACGGTAAAACCCACCCATTCCTTTATTTTGATATGTAAGGTTGTACTCCCATTAGGTATGGTTCTCTTATTTTAATGTTAATAAATTTTAGTCAAGCCCTGATATTGTGATAAGCTTAGAACTTTTATCCTGCCCCACTCCATCCTTCAAGAAGAGGCTGGAAATTGAGTTAATAAAATCCCTAAAAGACAGGGTTCAGAACTTCGGCTTGCTGAACACATGGCAGGTGCCATACCTGGAAAGCCTCTTCTCACATTCTTTGCTCTATACATCTCTTCCATCTGGTTGTTCATCTGTGTGCTTTGTAATACCCTTCATAAGTGCTAACTGGGTTTCCCTTGGTTTTGGGAGGGAACCAAGTTATTGAACCTGAGGAGGATCATGCAAACTCAAGTAGATAGCTGGTTACCATTAGCACAAGTCAGAACCTGGGACTTCTGATTAATGCCTGAAGTGGGGGCAGTCTGTAGGACAGAGCCCTGAACCTCTGGGATCTGACTTCAATGCTAGACAGACAGGGTCAAAGAATGAAATTATAGGACACATGTCAGTGTTTGCCAAAACTGCATGCATATTTAGTGTCAGAAGTCTAGTACTGAGAATGAGTGTGAGTACAGTAGGAGAAAACTATCAGTTTTTCCATTAGGTCAGGCACCAACCTGTGAAGAAGCCTGAACCCAAAGCAGAATAGTGGAAAGAAAAATATTAAACCAATTCTTCAGCAAAATCATAGCATCTAAAAAAAAAAAAAAAATGGGAATGGGGGCATAGTTCATGGCTCAGTGGTACAGTACTTGCCTAGCAAGCTCAAGGCCATTCAATCCCCAGTTTGGAGGTTGGAGGGAGCCCACCTTTTGAAGAAAACTGAGTAACTTCCTACCTCCAGACAAGCACTGCAGACTGAACATTAAGGACAATTAACAAACTTTTCAGCACTCAGGGGCACCAGCAGAGTAACTGCTGCAAGAGGAATGCTAATAAAGTCAAAGCAAGCATGTAAGTCAAAGGTTCTCAACCCGAGGGAGCTGTATGAAAACACCCTTCCTGGGATCTACTCCAGACTAGTCCTATTGGAATTTCGGACCCTGACAAAGAAATTGCTTCAAGACTCCTAGCCAATTCTTATATGCATCCAGAGATGAAGACCACTGATACAACTTAAAAGAAAAAGGATCCTAGCATTCGGGAGACAGAGGTAGGAGGACTGTGAGTTTGAAGCCAGTTTGGGTTTCGTAAGAAGACTCTGCCCCAATTTAAAAAAAAAAAAGGCGGGGGGATTGGGAGGGGGGAAGGAGTGAAATAACAAAAAGACCATTGGAAAGTAAGCACTATCTAAGATTACCAGTTTCAAAATTTTTAACATCGTAATCTTCCATTTAGCTGTACTCACTAATTTTGTAATACTGCCTACTGGTCAGGAAGGAAATCTATTACTCCTAGAACCAAGTACAGAAGAAATCTCCAACTTTGATTACAAGCAAATATATTTAGAAACAATTAGTGAATCTCTGTAATTTCTATATTCCTCATTGTTTAAGTATAAAGTGGGTTGGCAAAGACAACTATTAATGAAGCAAGAGATTTTTTAAAAACGTGTTTATCAAAGTTTATCAACCCTGTTGCTACTGACATTTTGAACTAGATAATTTACTTTAAGATATTCCTTAGTAACTGTTTTCAAGACATAAAAGGCTACTGTTTGTGAATTTAGTGTCTTCGGGGGTCACATGAGCACAAATGGGTGTCCTGTGTGTCTTGGATGCTTAGCTGCATTCCTGGCTTTCACCCACTAGATGCCAGCAGCAACCTGCCCCTAATGGTGACACCAAAAACATCTCTAGACATTGCCAAATGTTTTAGATCACAAACTTAGCTAGTAAAGATGGTCCTGAAAGAATGATAATCTAAATATATTTTAGGATTAAGGAAAGATGACCCATTTACCAAAGTTCTAAAAATCTTTTAATTTTTATATACCAGGTCCATAAACCTTTATAAGAAAGTGAGTTAGTAGTACTTGCCTGTAATCCTAGCACTCAGGAGAAGGCAGGAAGACAGCAAGTTCTAGAACAGACTGGACCACCCAGTTAAACACTGATTAAAAAAAAAAAAAAAAAGAAAACTATGGCAAAATTCATTTAAACAAACTAATTGTTTGTTTGTACTTTGTTCATGGATGCATAGTATGAATGTAAGCACCTTGTGACACATAACAAGGGAAAGTGAATTTTACTGTTCTTTAATAGAATACTGCTTGGTTGTATATTAAATACAAATTAAGTCTATGATGTACAACAGTTTAATCTATATCTGCTGGTTGCCTTAGTTTTTCATTTTACAGACCAGACCAAAATAAAACTTTTGAATTTAAAGTTTTCAACATGAAAGAACCAAAGAATAACTTTAATTGTAAAATAGCATCAATACAGCAAACATTCTAAAAGACTACATTAAAACATAGCATCTTCTGTACTCAATTTGAAGTGCTGTCACCAAAATCAGTAACAAATGTTTATTCTGCTTCTAAAAACTGTGTAGATTCAAATACTAATAATGGTTATTTAAGGGCCGGCTGAGTGGCTCAACTGGTAAAGCACCTGCTTAAGAAGCACAAGTCCTGAGTTTAAGCCCCATAATAAAACAAACAACAAATCACTGTTATTTAAAATTAAATTTATGGAATAACTAGGAAGGAGGCTGAATGGGAATCTGTGGACAGTTTTATGATACTTTAGACATAGAAAGCTACTGTTTTACTATAAATGAACTTTAAAATCATCTCCCTTTAGTACTTTCACCTGTCACATGGACATCAACCAAAGACTCAAACAGTTTGAAATGATCACTGACACAGATTCTCATGTGTCAGTACTTTAATGTGTACACACCAAATCACAAAAAAAGACATTCTATCACAAGGATGCAGCCCCTCTGAGTCATGACCAGCACACTATGTATTACAGTAAACCGAGTTTATATTCCACCATCAAGTGTGGTTCTCCCATTAGTTCACTTTGTGATGGATCTGAAAACAAACAAAAACAAAAATTTTAAGAGACTCAAAAAAGGAAACATTCAGTGATTCCACAGGGTGATGAAGTTCACTGAGGAGACCCACCTATGCATTTTTTAAAACTCACAGAACGATACACCTAGTAATGAATGCCTCAGATGTCATATTAGTTATATCTCAATATAGTTGATTTAAAAAGAAAAAAACAGATTGAAAAGGTTCTTCTTTATCAGAGTTTGCTTCACAGATAACTCTGGGGAACAAACTCTTAATCTAATTTGTGAAAACATTTTATCTGTATCATTTTCCTCACCATTGCATATACACAAACATAAATAGAATTCAAATTAAGAAACCCTTAAAGTCTTCACTCACTCATGTTTACAGATAAGATAAAAGTATTATTTTGCCTGTGGTAAGTACACCTAACAGAGTTTTTAAAACTAACAGAAAGCTCCCTGAGGACTTTGCTTTGTCCTCTCCAATGTTGGTCTAGAAACAGAATAAAACCTAATAAACTAAACTGTAAAATTAAGTTTGTAAAAATGAGTACCATTCATATTACCATGACAACACCAAAGGTAACAGTGCAGTATTAACCATGTGGCTGCTTCTTCACTCGAACTCGTAGGAGGCTGGAATTTATTGTCACAATAGTCCCTCCTCTCTACAGGTGTCACACCACAAAGTAGCCTTAGTAACTGTTATTAGTAACGGTTATTAGTAATTAACTGCTATTTATATAATAGCCATTCATCATCTAAACTTTTTTTAAAAAGATGACTGTACATGAATAAAAGAAACTGTTTTGTGTTAATAGGAAAAAAATAAGATCCATCAATATATATGGCATATCATAAATATTTTAAGATACTAATTGTGTTAAAAGGAAAAACACAAAGCAATGCCAAGTATTTTCTGACTACATGTATTTGTATGAAGACACAGAAAAATGCCTGGAATGAGGGAACAAAATGGGAAGTGTGAGACCCTGAGTTCATCCCCTAGTACTGCCAAAAAAAAAAAGTTCAGTAATATGGGCCTTCTTAAAGTGCTCTTATGTGTGAAGACAATTCTCAATTGGTCTCTCACAATTCTGCAACTTCTAGGAAAAGACACAGTGACTTTATCTTTTTAAGGCTGTTTCTAAAGTGAACAGCCACAGAAGACAGAGGACAGACAGATGTACTTCCCATCAGAAGATTCAGGAGCACTGAAGATGGGGCTCCTCTACTGGCATCACCTGAACTTTTTTCATGCTGTCTTGTGGGAAGTAGGGCTCAGGGGACCAACCAGAATGCTGATAATTTGGGCATCTGCTATTGCTATGAGTAATACACTGTCTTCTGCCAGCATCCATAAAATTATGGTAAGTCAACTTCTTAGCTTATAAGTAGGATCAGATCACAAACTCTTCAGAGTTCTTTAGCTGCTAGGATAGAGACAGACTCTAGACATACTGTTTCTTCTGCCTGAAACAGTCCTCCTCTTACTTTTATCTCAACTAATTCATGTACCTTTCACCAATCAACTTATGTGTCATATTCCCAGAGGTGCTTGCCTTTCCCAACCCAATACCATCCTTTTTATCACTGTAATTTGTTTTTTTTCCCCTGTTTAATGTTTGTCTCCTCCACTAGAAAGCACAAATAACTATCTTCTTCATTCTTTTATATCCAAAGTCTAGCTCAATACTTGCATACAATGAATATTCCAGACTATTTTGAATAAATATGCAAAAAGTCAAAGAATTTGTCCTTTCTTTATACAGAATTGCAGAAGATTCTGAAATTAGTTCATTTTTATAAGTAGATAAAAGTTAAGAATACAGACCTAAACTAATTTTAAACAAGCTTAGGAATCCCAGGTTTTCCTGCACTCAAAAAGTTCTCTCTGAGAAGATTCTCAAAGAGGAGGCTCTCTAGACTTCTGTTGTGTCCACGGCATTTCCTTACCGGACATCAGCAGCCAAGCAAAACTAATAAAACTTAATCCGGTTGGGTTTTTCTGTTTCTCCTGCCCTGCTGGAGTGTTACAAGCAGAGGCAATACTGGACAGGATTATATTTGTTTATCTTCCTGAGAACCAGAAGAAACAGAGGATGCTGCATTGCATTGTTCTTACTTAAAAGTCATTTATCTGATACATAATACAATTATTCAGAGAATTTTGTTAAGAATGACAGACTCTTCTTTCCTATTCACCACATATAGAAGCACAAAATTACTGGGGGGGGGAGGCTGTTACTATTTTTTAAGGAAGCTTTTATCTTATTCATGCTAGTCATTATAAAAATTAGTCCCATAAATGCTGTGAATACTGTAACAACAATCACTGTTTAAGTCACCCAAGAAATACTGTATTAGACGAATACATCAGCCTCAATATTCAGGACATGAAATAACAACCACTGTAACTTGACTGAAATGACTATAACTTCAGGTTTTCAAACATAATCTTTAGTCTGAAAAAGTTAAACAACAGTTATCACCATTAAAATTTACCTTACTGCTATAAATCAATACAAGTGAATCCGACTGGCTGTAGCTCCGTGGGAATAAGCATTCCGTTTTGTTTGCTAATACCTTGTATAAAAGAGAGCTCCAAAAAGGTACTGAATGACACTTACCGTTAAGAATATCTTCAAATCCAATAGTTTCATCATTACCCCTCAAAATATCCAGTGAAAGGTTTGAGCTTGAAAGAAATGGAAGACGCTGAACCTTTGGTAAAAGTATAAAAGGAAAGTTTAGAAAAACCAAGGGGGGAAAACCAGAACATGTAATCTAATTTCATGTTCTTCACTCTTTTATTTGAAAAATCCATGAAACTAAGGAAACAGCAATTGAGCCACTGGGAAAGAATGACTCACATTTTAAATACAGACCAAGTTTTAAAATATGTTGACAGTAAAATTGCAGTTTTTATTAACAGGTTTGCATGTTTTTGAAACTTTGCTCCGTCCAGGAAAACTACAACACATACCCCAAGATGAAATGCAAAACCCAGAGCCTAACATCATGCTTTGTTCCAGATACACATGGAATAATCAAATTCCTGAAGAAATCCCAACTTGGTGAGAACATTAAACTACTTAGTAAACAAATACTCCATTTGTACATCGTTTTGTACTGCTCACAGTACAAACATAAGGTATAACACTTTCAAACAGTAGTAGCAACCAGAAATGCGAACCAGTCACTTCTGAAGCCTTTAAAAACACAATGTCACTCCAAACTAATGGGATCTCTTTTTTTCTAGTATTAAATATACAGACAGCTAAAGACAGAGATACATATTGTATTGTAGACTGTACCTAAGTGCAGTTTAGTGGAGAAAGCACAGGCTGTGGAAGCAGAGTGATGGAGATTCAGTCTCTGACTCATTATGTAGCCAGTCATACAGCCTTGTGCATGATTTCCTGACTCACTGCAGCCCCAGCCGCTTCATCTATGAAACTGGAGAATGCAGTCTTCCTCCCAAAGCTATGGTATGGTGTTGCAAGGCACATATTTAGTATAGTCACTGACACATGGCTGGTACTCAACAACCTTTAAAGTAACCAAGCCAAATTTCAGTCTTTCTTTTCTTTGTCACTTGTCCAGAAGTTATAATCAGAAGTCAATGTGATAATTTTAGATACTGCCAAAAGAGTAATAGGTGGTCAGTGACTAAGGACTCTAAAAATAATCATACCTTCATAATCTAAGGAGGCAGTTATGACTCCAAAATGTGTCTGGAATAAAGATATTATTTTTTAATTACTAATGGCCTTTGGAATTATTTAAATCTTTACGGTGTGGAAAATTTTCTCTAGATTTTTCAACCAAAAAACAAAAAACAACAAAAAAAGAATGAGAAGAAAAGAGGATGAATGGGAAGAAAGAGAAACAGGAGCCTGTAAATTAAACCAAACAGCAAAGGGTCTGGCAGGTAGTTAGAGCCAAGATACCATTCTGATAAGGCATCAAAAGCAGGGATTGCAAAAGTATAGGGATCAAAAGGAAAGAGTCAAAGTTCCGGGCAGAGATTTTGAATTAAATGTTAAAACTCAGGCCCAAAATATGAGCAATAATGCAGTTGAAATCTGAGTATAGACAAGAAAATAAAAAAGGAAGCTAACAATTCTGTGCCAAACATATATTTCATTTAATCTTCAGAACAACCCTATGCTATTCTAACTGCTCTTCTATTTCACATTAAAAACAAACAAAAAAGACCTGAGGTTCAAAATAGTCTATAACTTAAATTTTAAAAACTAAAGATTCAGACCCAAGTTATTCTCACATAAAGCCATGTTCTTTTTAGAGCTCCTTTAAGTAGCTTCCAGAATGATTAAGACACAATTTTATAGCTAGATCAGAGGAAAAAAAATCCCCATGGGTAGGAAAAACATGTGCAAAAGCTAAAAGCTGAAAGTAATTAGGAAATTGCAGGTAGTTTAGGAGGGTGTGAGATTATGGTAGGAAACAAGAAGCCAACTGATAAACAGAGCAATGTTAAGAAGTTGGGTGCTATTTTGAGAGCAAAGTAAGGAGAGTAACAAGATCAAATGTTTTACAGAGGCTATTCCAGCTACAGTGTCAATAATGGGCTGGAGGGACAGCAGGGGTGAGTGGTGCAAAAATACAAATGAAGTATGGCAGGGGTGAGAAACAACGTAGTAGAGATGGAAAAGAGATCAAGTAATGGGCTAGATGTTTTAGGGGTAGGGAAGGAGTTGAGGACGAAGTGCTGAGAGAGATAACCAAGGCTAATACCCCAATTTTTGCCTTAGGCAGAAACCTATTCATACACGATAAAAAGTGTGTGAGGAACAAAGACTTATTCTGTATGTGTACATGTGAAATTTGAGGTACCCAGGAACTTCCAATTGCTATAGCCTGTGGGTTTACAGCTCATGAGAATTGTAATTTGAGGATCAACAGAATATAAATCCTAACTGAAGAAACAGGAACAGGTAGAAAATAAGGTGAGGAGAGTACCAAAGAATGGTACTAAGACAACTGGTATTTCAGGTTAACACATTAAACAAAAGGAACCTACAATGAGAAACCTGAGACATTAAGTAAGTATGTGTTCTAAGAGTCAAGGGAAAAAGATAAGAGGCCATGAGTGTCAAATACTACACAGAGTTCGAGTAAAATAAGGATAAGAAAAAGACTGCATTGTTTCAGAGCAGATTCAGGAGGTAAAGGACTATAGGTAATAGAAAGCATAGACAACTTTTTTAAGAAGCTCAATTTGCAGCAGCACACTTAGTGTGAGAGAGGAGTGTAAAGAAATTCAGGATTGATACAATTTTTGTTTTATTTTAAAAGACAAAGGAATCGATATGTGTAAATGCTGCTGATGAGACAGAGCAAGAGGAGAGGCTAACCTTGTCAGCTAAAAGCTAGGCATGGAAGCTCATGCCTACAAACCCAGCTACTAGGGAGACAAAGATTGGGGGGATTACACTTTGAGGACAGCCTGGGCAAAGTTAGCAAGAACCCCAGCTCAACCAATAACAGCTGATTACAGTAGTGTGTACCTATCATCCCAGCTATGCAGGAGGTGTAAATAGGAGGATTGTGGTCCAGGCCTATCAGGCAAAAATGCAAGACCCTATTCAGAAAATAACTAAAGCAAAAGTGGCTGGGGTGTGACTCAAATGGTAGACCATTTGCCTAGCAAGCACAAGACCCTGAGTTCACACCCTAGAGCCACCAGAAAAAAAAAAAAGAAAAAAGTCAGCTGCAGACAGGACCCCGATCAAGGGAATTCCTTTAAGTAGTATGATGTAACAGAATCTAGAGCATAGTCAGGGAGACAGTTTTTACATGCCTGGAAGGACATCTTCCAAGTATTTATTTCTTAGTAACAAATGTAATGTACTCAGCTATACACATACTGAATACTCAATACCACCACCTGAGTTCTCCTAGAGCATCTCAAATTAACAGAAATCAAAAAAGCAGAAAACCACAAAAGCTGATACAGATAAGCGTTCAGATGCCATGCACATAATTTGAAGAAGTTTTCTATTTAGTGATTTCTTTTTCTTCTATGAAGTAGAAACCAAGGTCTATGTTATAAAAAGAGAAGTAGAATGGGTCTTAAGGGAGCAGAGAAAGTAAGGTTAGAATAGCTGTCAGCAAACAGAATTCCTTATGACTAACATAAACACAGGTGGGACATAAGAGATCCATAAGCTTACCTGCTGCACTGCCTTGAATTCCATTTGTAATTTCAGGGGAGCAAACAGACCCTGGATGTTCCTCAGTGTGGAAAAATTCATTTTATCTTGGTTGAGCTGAAACTACAAAAGATAATGTAATTGTAAATGTTATGCTCAACATTCTGCTTTCAAAACAGCATTGGTACATACAAAACTCAATACTTAGATGAAGGCTTTTAACATCCATAACTGAAACAAAGTGCTTTTATTAATTCCTTTGATAAATTTTAGAATATTTATCTATATTTTATCCAGCCTGCAGGTATAGTTTACCAATGTAAATTTGTTACCTAAATTTGTAAGACTAATAAATTAGGGAATGTGTTTCACATTGCAAATGTATATTTATAATGGATAATCCTATACATTTATAATGCATAATCCACTGAGATAGTGAATCTTTAAGTACAAAGTCATAAATTTCAAAGGAATTCATAAAAGAGATAGCTAAATCATCATAGTATCTTGTTAATTAAACTGCAATATTTAAACTTCACTTTTCTGGGGAGTTAATTCAGGGAAAACAAATTGTGAAAAGCCTAATCAATTTGCATTAGGCACAAATCAGTAGGTTCTTTTCTGGAATCGTAGTCTTACTAAGCTCCAACAGTACTTCTACAAAATTTCGATCCTAATCTAATGTACTTCAGGCAAAATGATTCAACTTGTCTTGATTCTAAAACATAAGTTGCCCAAATTGGTTCTCAAGGCAGTGAATATAATATGCAAACAGACAGCTATAAAGATCTGTGTGAACCAAGGTAATTATAATGAAGTAAAATGACTTTTTGTTATTTTTTATTACACTATACTCCCTCTGTAAAATTTGCTTCTAACAGTCATCAAAAAAATCATTTTCCTACAAAACCTATTAAGAGATCAGTGCCGCTTGGGATATGACTGGGGCAACACATAAGAAATTTGAAAAAATAAGGGGTCTAGCAATATAGTTTTTAATCACTTTAGCATGATATAACAAAATTTTAATAGATGATCCTCAGGGAAGTTTTAAGGGAAGAATTTTCTTTAGTTACCCTTATGATAAGTAAATATAATGTGATGTAGGAAAATTTAATTTATATAAACTTTGATGAATACACCCAACTTGTAATGTTACCTTTATCACCACATGAATTAGCAAACATGTAAAAACTGGGCTCTGTGGTGATACATAAAACAGAGCAGTCTACCCTAAGTTGCTCAGAATCTAGTTGGGAAGACAATACAAACAGATCGAGGGTTCTCAACTGTTGGAACTACCGATATCTTGGGCCAGGTAATTCTGTCCTGTGCACTGCAGTAATGTTTAGCAGAGTCCCTGGGCTTACCAATATTAACAACCTCCTCCTGTCCCCAGTCATGCCAGTTGTAAGAATCAAAAACATATTCAGACATTGCCGTCTGAACTGTGCAAACTCCCACCCCTACTTGAGAATCACTGGTGCAGATGCTAAAGGTCACCTTCCATCACTGTCACCACTGCAGCTCTTAATAATGGAGAGCAACAAAGGCCAGCAATATGCCAAGGGATAGGCTACTACCAACTCCACTTTACAGAAGAGAAGACCAACATTTGAGGGATATTAAGCAATTTGCTCAAATCTGCTTAGTTAATAAGCCTAGTGCCTATGTAGTTCAATTATACCACTCAGCTAAAGAAATTCAAGAAACAGTAAGTGCCCCAAAATTTCAAGAAAGAGAGGTTGCCATTAGCTGGTTTAAGTGATTAAGAAACACAGAGAGAGTAGACCTAAGCCAGAGTCTCCAAGATAAAAGAAGTTTTAGACTCTTTTACCATCCTGGCCAGTCTCATTCAGATTTTTCAGTTTCTCTTAACATAACATACTGCTCAAATAGAACCAATACTCCAGATCTAATGGCCACTCTCACATAGGAAAGTAAGAATATAATTCTCCTTGATTTGAGCCCTGTCTTATTATTAATAAAGACCAAGATCGTATTAACTGTTCTTTAAAAGCTAACATAATCTGCTGGCATGTACTGTCAAGTTTTATGCAAGTCAGGTTTTCTCCACCTAAATGTGTGTACCTCATTTTTTTCAACCAAAAGTGAAACTTCGGACTCACCTCAGCAAATACCTTTTTTTAAAGTTATAGCCTACCCTAAGGTTTATTTTGCTTCTGTGACATAGTATAATTATTTAACTATCCTTTCCAGTTTTTTCTTCCAAAAACCAAACTTATACTTTTGTGTATAAATTTACACTCAAGTCTTTATAAGACACCCAGCCTTCCTAAGTGCTTGCTCTCACTACCTAAGATACAGGAAGAGGTGAAGATCCCTATCAAAGTATCCCTCTGAATTGACAATTCCTTAATCACTGCTGTCTGGGCAGTTATCAACCATAAACAACTCACACTGCATTATTCTCACTCAGTCCATAATTTACCATCTTATCCTTGAATTTAAGATTAACTGTGTACTAGCTCATTCACTTGCTGTTGATCACTGCTTACTTTACTAAATGCTTATAGCCATCTACTTAACAGTCTACTCTTCGATTAGATCCCTTTTAGAAAAGTGAAGTATTTATCCATCTTCAGTCTATAGGTAATTTTTGTTCCATTATTTCTCAAAGATGATAGATTAGTTTTATAATCATGCTCATATACTTTTAAGTCTACTCTGGGCTGTCAACTTCTGAGCCTTAAACCTGAATGCACTTAAAGCAAGGAGCTCTATTCTCATTTTATATGAACGTCAATTTCATAATTCCAGCTTTGTGTAGTGGCAGTATCATAGCCAATGAGGTTTATCCCAGGCACAATTATTGTTACTTGAAAACTTTTCCCAATTTCTTAATTTCATTATTTGTTCTACCCTTTCTTATAGTAGTCTTTCCCTTTGCTAAAGAGAGAAGGAAAAATAAAAACAAAAACAGGAAAAGCTGAGCCTTTACCCTGTTACCTGAGTGACACGGCACACTGTACCTTTCTTATTATAAAACCATTAAAGCTGTCTTTAAAACATATGTGCATGCTATTCCCTCTATGTGAACAACCTTTCCTTACCCTGATGAATACTGAGCTAACTGTTCAAATGTCCTCACCTCTACAAAACTTTCCAAAGCCCTAATCAGAAACAGATGCAGCATCCTTGCTCCCTTCTAATGCTTTATGAATCCTCCCCATTAAAATGTAAGTTTCTTAAGGTTGAGTATTATGTCATATTAATATGTGTATCTACTGTGTCTGATAGATATGTACCTCAGTAACTCAGAAATTGAAGGTCTGAGAAACACGTTAAAGCTGGGATATGGACTTGGATGTCTGCAGCAAAACTGGCAAAGGAAGATTTAGTTTATCAAATGAGAAAATTATTGTGAGACGAATGGAGTGACAATTTTCTGAAATATCTATGAAAAAGACAGAAAATGATACATAAAAAGGGAGTTTTAGTAAAGTTACCATTTCACTATAAATTGATAATTTGAAAGCTTATTGTACAGGAGATTAAATAAGGCCTCCAGGTCAAATCCTGAGTACCAGAATTGGTTTAGTAAAATCAAACAGAAAAAGCATTGCTGAAAGTATTTTTGTACTGGAGAATAAAAATAAACACACAGGTAATACACTTACATTTTTTTCTGATAATTCAAGAGGATGACTGGGCAAAAGCTCATTTTTCACACAAGAAAAACTAGAGAGAAGAGGGGGAAAAAATAACATTTAAAAGGGAGATTACATATCATTCAATACCCACAGCTCAATTCTATTAAGGATTTGATCATAAAGTACTGCACAGGGGCTAGGGTATAGCTCAGTGGTATAGCATATGATTAGCATGCACAAGGCCTAGGGTTTGATCCCCAGTACCAAAAAGAGAAGGAATTTGGAATTTTTAAGGATAATAAATTTTGACTATGGTGATAATAACAGGAATTGATATGTGTATTAAAATTCATAGAACTATATGCCCAAACAAAAAACAAACATTTTGTGACCTAAAACTAGAAAAGAAAAATAGCAACAGCCAACACTTACTGAGTGCTTACAAATGGCAGGTATCACTCTAAGTATTTTTCAGGTATTAATTCATATATTCCTCAAAATAAGAAATATACTATTATTAACCCTATTTCATAGCTGAGCACACTGAGACTCAGAGCAATTAAGTAACTTGTCCAAAGGCATACATCTGACAAATAGCAGAGCCAGGATCTAAATCCAGGGAGCCTGAGCCCATAGTCATCCTCTTAAGTGCTATGTTCTAGTCCTCCAGAGAAAAGGAAAATACTCCAGTAACTAACTTGGAGAGCCATTTTCTCTTTATTCTATTGTCAGTAGGAAAAAGAAGAATCCTACCAAATCATGCTACTGGGTAACATCTACTAGGAAGATGCACTATCCTGGGACTCTAGTACTTTGATAAGTGCTTCTTCTACTACAGAAAACATGTAAACCCGTCCACTTCTACACACCATGCAGGGATCATTTCTTGCTACTTCCTGCATTAAATATATTTGTAGCCTATCAAAATATTTAAAGAATATTCCCCACAGCAACATTTTATTACAACAAAGTCGAAACCATGACTCCCATATACCCTTTCCGAAGAAGATCGTGATTTTCAAAAGGCCCACTTGCTGAAAGTTCAGTAACTGGAATACTGTCCTTTAGCTGAGATCCAAGTCCTCTGGCATTCTACAACACAAATTAAAAGAATTTACACACATACACACACCCTATGTAAAAATCACTGATCAGGAGAGAGAAAAGATAAAGACTGCACTCTTAATGTTCCCACCATCTAGACAATTAGATATGCTAGATGGATAAGCAAGGTAGCAAGGGTAATACCAAATTTGGGTGTGAAAAGATTCCTGGGCTGAACTTTGAATGCTGCCAGATAGAAAAGCATTTCAGCAAAAAAGAAATAGGTATGAAAGTATAAATGAACAAGCTACAAGTAGTTGAAATGATTAAATACATGTATGAGATAGAAGTAAAGGCTGGCAAAATTAAAAAATGGAAAGTTTACATTCTAAAATGATAGAGAGCCCCTGAAGTGTTTTAGTATGATGTATCAGATTTGCTTTCACTGAAAAAATCTCCTCCCCCTTAGGTTGAAATGTTTAACAGAATGGAAAAGTTGAAGACAGCATCCTTAAGGACAAGGAAGAATATTAAAGAAATGGAATTAAGAACAGACAGGATAACTAGAAAAGGTAACAAACTAAGAAAAGGGGAATTTCAGAGGGTTTGGTTTAGTGTAAGAGGAGGGTCTTACCTATAAAAGTGTATCCAATCAGGATAGTGTAAATCAAAAAATTGAAAAGAAACAAAAAAAAGTGTATTTGGAATTGAAATATTATCATCCTAGATATCTGTACCATGAAACTTTCAAATCACCAAATACTTATTAGATACCTATTATGTGTCAGGTGCTCTGCTAGGTGCTGAAGATACATGCCTACTTCCTAAAGCTTAATTTAATGAAGACATATCAACAAGCAAATAAGACATAGTAAAATAACAGAGCGCAAGATGCGGACTTTCAACTACTGAATGATCAAATATAATATCCCTGCAGTTCAGCAGAAAAATGCAAAACAGCTACAAGTAGTATGGTATTTAATCTTACTATTCTAGGAGAAACTATTCTGGAACACTAGCTTGTTAACTGATTTCTTAATTTATTTGTATATTTTATTTGGTAAGGCTCTTTATCATCCTGTCCAGGTTCTCACACTGGGATAATTTCAACAGTACTCCCCTGGGTCTTCTTGATTTAAACTCATCTATTTTCCAATTTTGCACATCGAGCTTTTTTCCCTAAACCACGCAACCTCTCCTACCAAAACTGCTAATAAATAAACAAAAACCTTTCAGTGATTTATCAAAGAATAAAATCCAGGGTCCTTAGCCTGCAACTCCAAGAATCTGCATAGCAGGTTCCTACTTCCCTACATACAAGAAGTCTCGGTGGATAAGGAAAAAATCCTGGAGTCTATTTAGGCTGTCACTTTGTGACTGCAAGCCAGGCATGCACCTCTCCGAACCTTTTTACTCATGTGCACCAGGTACTAACCTCCTTCCAGGACTAGAGCTATGTGGTTGTGGCTTTCCAAATTTTATCTTACACTACTATCCTACACTGACATTCTCCTCCTGCCAGGATGCTTTACTGTAAAGTGACAACAGAGAAGTTCTTCCTTGTATGCACAAAGAATGGGGGAATTCTGATCCCTGGGTTCTACTGTTATCTTTCCAATTGCCTTCTATAAACTATCAGGATTAGTACTTAAGTTTTCTAATACAATAGCAGAAACAAATCTATGAACACCTAATAAACAGTTACATTTGACAATGCTTACCACACTTCTCTACAACGATTGGCAATATTTACCAACAGAAGTTTTTTAGGATGGCCTACCAGCAGTGCTGATAGGAAGCAACGGTGACTCAGAAGTCTTCCCAAATATCACAACTTTTAAGTAAAAGAGAAAGAGAAAGTGGGGAGAGAGAAGAGGGAGCAAGAGAGGCAGGAGAGAGAGGAAAGCGGAGAGATACACTAACATGACAAACGGAGTAATAACTGATTTTCCCTTCCAACACACGGCATAATACAGGCTGAAAAACGTTTGTAACGTGAGGCCGAATTGCATAAATACGACCTATAGTTGTGGGTTGGTTATCAACCAGTGACAAGAGCCGGGGGTGGCGGGAAGGTTGAGGGCTTTGGGGGGAGGAGAAGTTACCCCTGGGAAAGTGGTCGGTAACCCCACAGACGTCGCTTTTCGGGTTCGCCCTTCCCAGCTCCACGCCAATTATGGGGAAGGGGCCCGGCCCTGCCCTGGCCTGCAGAGGGACTCGGGGACAGGAACACGTAAGCCACCCGGAGAGGACAACGAGGAAGAGGCTAAAACCGAATCGCCGCTCGCGGGAACGGAGCCTGGGCTGGACCCTCGAGCCAGCCACGAGCCGCCCGACCCCGTGACTAGACAGATTATGGCGCGCGAGGCCGGCCTCCATCCCCACGCTGCAGCGTCAGCCGGAGGGAGTTGGGAGGTGGCAGCTTGTGCCCGCCGGGCCTCGGTGCCCAGCCCGCCTGAATTCGGGCGGTCGGGGAGACTCACCATCTTCAGCCCGCTCTGGGAACAGCCTCTCAACCTGGTTACCGTCAGCCGGCCCGCCGCTCACTTCCGTTTCCGGGAGCCGCTCCCCCCACATCCGCCGGAAGTGCGTCCGTCCGGGCGAGGAAGGAAGGAGGGCGCGGGTCGCCGGCAGGGAGCTGCGCGGGGCCGGGGCTCCCACGGCCGCAGTCCCGAGGGACCCAGGGCCAAGGGCGCAGTAAGGGTGTGGGCTGGAGAAGGGCGGGCTCTGGACGAGACGTGCTACCGGGGAGGGAAGATGGGACCCCGCTGTCTTCATAAATGTCTACCGTTAGTACGGCGTTTTAAGACGTGCCGCGTGCTTTTGTAGGTACATCCGGCTCCTTACCACAAAACTCCCTCAGGTAGGCGGTAGGCGGTACAGTTTACAGAGAGGCAAACCAGGTCCAGGTGGGTTGTGCTTTCCTTAAAGTTGTTCAGCTAGTAAGGTAGAACTTGAATACGACTTGGCTTTTGAAAACTTACTTGTATATTTTTTAAATCCTTGCTATGGTTAGAGGAGAAAGGGACTCCAAGGGTTGGAGGGGGTGGGACTGACACCTAAGTAAAGATCATCTTGACTGACATATATTTGGGCTCTTAGAACTACATATCAACACAGTTCTAAATGCTTTATGTGAGTTATCCTTAAATCTTCCCAATAGCCTTATGAGGAAGGACCTCCTGTTACCCCAGTTTTACAGGTGAGGAAAACAAGACATAAAAGTGGACTAAATATATATGCCCAATGAACCTGTCTGAGGCAATAAGCCATGGTCTTAACAGTACTCTGTATTGCTTTTCAAATAAGTGATGAACAGCTTATGCTCTACCACTATGTTACCTAGATGACCTAAGGAATGGTTGGGCAGATAGCCAAAGGATAAGAGCTAACTAGTTTGGTAGTAGGGTATATACTGCATGTGACTAACAGATCTGCCTGTGCAAAAGACAAACCAAGAAAGAAGTTGTGTCTGGCTAAAATAAGGTAGAGTAGTGTAAGATGAAACATGATGGATAGAGACACATTTTTTATGAAGGCTTTTGTGGCCCTGATTAAAGATGAGGCCTTGTCTTTTAAAAACCACTGAAGGATTTTAGAGAGTGAGGCATAGGTCATGTTATGTATATCCACTGCTGTGGTCATAGAGCTGAAGTTCAGATTTATGCAGCCACTAAGTATTCTTCACTGGTGTCCTTATGTGTCTTCTGGTCTTTCAAAGTATCCATGGTTACCTTGAGATTTGAACTTGAGTGTTTCAGTTGTATCTTTTTCTTTTCGGTCAGTTCCACCTAAGAAGTAAGTCATTTTAATGTTTGTTGGTTGCTCATAATTCAATCCATAAATGTTTGTTGGACATTTTTTGGTACTACATAATGGAACTGCAGAGAAGAAAAGGGTATTTCCCTGTAAGGAGATGGCTAGTATTTTCCTGGAGGAATGGACTTGTAAATAGATATTTACAATGCAGTGTGGTAAATGATTAATAAAGGACCTGGGTCAGGAAATATCCTGGAACAGGGGAAAGGGCATTCAAGGAAGAACTTGGGAAAAGAGGGGTTTGTGAAAGCACATGTTGTAATCTGAGCAATGGAGAACATTTCCATGTGGTTGGTGTTCTAGGTGAGCTAGAAGAACAAGATAGGAAGAGGCTGAAGGGATTAGTCAGGGCCAAAATTGAGGGCCATGAATATTGTGCTGAAGTTTGGGACTTTTTCTTGTAGGCACACATTTGACTTTAAAACAAAACACTTGTTCTAGTGGCAGCATGAAGGATAGCCTGGGAAAGGGAAAAAGTAAGAGCAGGAATTCTGTTTACATTGTTGGTATAGTCTAAGCTAGAGATGATAAAGGTGTAAGGTAAGGTAGTATAGTGTAGTGTATTTAGAAAGCTTTGGAAGCAAGAAAAAGTGGAGATGAACCTGAGAAATATTTAAACTCAAAAGGCAGCAAGAAGAAAGGGAGCCTGCCCTAGGATCAGAAGAAATAGGCAAGAAGAAAACCAAACTAAAGTGATAGCTTAGAATCCAGAGGTCAAAAAAGTATCTAGAGGTTGGAAGTAATTCAACAGAGAGGTTAGGGAATAGATCCAAATTAGTAAAAAGATAATGAAGTCCTAAAAAATAGACTGTTAATGACCATGTGAAAACAGTTGTTTTATTAGTGCAGCAAGGAGAAAAACCATCTTATTTTGAGTACATACCTACATTTATGATCTATTTTAAAAGATTTGTTTGATACAAGGCCACGCACAGTGACTCACATCTGTAATCCTAACTACTTGGGAGGCAGAGAGCAGGTGGATTGCAGACCAAGGCCAGCCCAGGCAAAATGTTAGCGAGACCTCATCTCAGTCAGGTCTACCATGGTGGCTCATGCCTGTTATCCCAGCTCTGTGGGAGGCTTAGATAGGGAGACTGTGGTCCAGGGCCATCCCAACGCAAAAACACTAGGCCATATCAGAAAACACAAAGCAAGAAGGATTGGGGTGTGGTTGATGTGGTAGAGTGCCTGCCTAGCAAGCACGAGATCCTGTATTCAAACCTGAGTACCACCAAAAAAAGATTGTCACAGGATTAACTAATACAGGGCCTTTCTGAGTATGCTAAATAGCTGAAAATTAAAGGTGTTTTAATTAATCCTTAAGCACAGTTTGAGGTGAGTAGTACTCTCATTTCACAGAAGAAACTGAGACTTGTGTGCTGTGAATGAGAACAAGTACCCTATTCTGTTTTAATACTTGTCTTCCTTGGCTTTACTGTGAAGCCAGTCTGATGACCTATATAGGCCAGCTGAGGACAGTTTCAGCTTTCACAACATCTATCAAGAATGCTCCTCCCTTGTTCTAGCTCCCTCCCCATTTGTTAGGTTTTACTGTCTCTTGCTTGAGTCCTATTCCTATAATTGATCTTGTCCACTGACTTGGTTCTCCTGCCTTAAATTTAAGTCTTCTCTAAAGACCTGAAGTTATACTTACCCTTTTGCTCACCTAAGGGTGCTCACCCTTAGGCACCCAAACTACCACAGCCTGCTTGGTTAGGCCTCTCCTATGGTACAGTGCTTTGCATAATAGACAGGCACTCAGAAAGGCTTTAAAATCTAATAGGCAGTGAATGTCTCTTTCTAGAACTTGGGCTAAGTTAGATGAGGAATGGAGGAGACAGGTAGGAAAATGTCTCAGTTAAGGAATGCTCAAGAGCCAGTGTCAAGATAAAGAAATGACCAGTGAAGACAAGTGTCATGATTGTGGGAACATCAGTGAGTTTAGCAAATGGGATGTCATTTGGATGGTCTTGTGATGAGCAATTTAACTAAAATGGTGGAAGCAGAAACCGTACTGCCAGGAATGCTGTTATAGCAGACCCCTAAGCCACAGGCAAATCCCCCATATCCTGTATTTTTCCAATGTATAAATACTATGATAAAGTTTAATTTCTACATTAGGTTTGGCAAAAGACTAACAATAAATAACAAAATGAACAATTATATCAGTATATAGTAAAAAATGTTATATGGATGCAGTAGGTCTTGCAACTTTAGCATATGATTTTTTTCCTTTCCTCATTAAGATGAGAACTTTTACCTTTTCACTTTAAAGGAAGCACTTTATGGCTTCTCTTAGGCATATTCAAATTGCATCATTCTTCTTGTACCTGTGGCCATTAGTAGCAAGGGTTATGTGAACACAGCACCAAGACAGTAGATCCAGTAAGTGTGAAGGCTGCTGAGTGGCTAACAAACAGTAGGTATATGTTGGACCAAGGGATAATTCATGTCCTGGGCAGTATGGAATGGAAAGACTTGGGATTTCATCATGCTACTCAGAACGGTGGCTATTTAAAACGTAGCAATTGTTTATTTCTAGAGTGTTTCATTTAATATTTTTGGACCATCGTTGAATAAAGGTAATGAACTATGAAAGCAAAACTGGATGGCGGTGGGGGACACTGTAATAATAAGAAAATGGAGGCACTGAAGTTTTGTAGATTAATCTTTTCGGAAAGTTAACAGTCTCAGAAGTAGGATTTGAGTTTGAATCAAAATTGAGTTTTGTTTCATATGCATGGTGGGAGAGACCAAAGTTTATTAAACAAAAAGTTTATTAGACCAAAGTTTGTTATTAGAGTTAGTGAAAGGGCAAGAGTGACAATAACAGGGAAGGAGAAGCAGCCAGAAGGAACTATTGAGGTGATGACTTCTCAGATGACTAGAGCAGATGTGAGGGGGAAGCTGAGTCAGAGATAGAATCCTTACAAAATGGGCAAAGAGATGGAAAACATGGTAAAGAAATCCTTGTCTGTGGAGGAGGAATTCTGTGAGAACTGAAATCTGATCACCACTGTTAATAGAGATGGGGTAAGGGAGGGTTAGTGATGGCTTTACAAAAGGAGAAAAGCTGAAAAGTCACTATGTACAATATACTAGTGAATCAGTAATATGAATTAGAAAACTACCCAGAACCATGAAGACATAAAGGAGGGTGAGTGACATCAATTTGTGATTGGCTACACCAACAGTTTTCAGTGTTCTCTGCAGCAGTTCTTAGCAGTTAAGTGATGAGGGATCACAAAGTAGACCACAGGAGGAGTAAGCAGGTTAGGGATTCTGGGTGAGCATGTGGTAGAAGGGGGTCAGAAAGGCAAAGGGAGTGATTAGAAAAGAGTGGCATTCAGTGACAGCCCCTCCTACCACTGCTTCCTTTATTTTGGAAGTACTTTCATTTGCTTATTTCTCTGGACTACAAGCTCTTTGAGGGTGGCGACTGCGATGTGTCTAACTTTAAACACCTGCTCCTTGGCCCAAATTTTTCTTGATGGTGTGTTGTTGAACACCTCCAGAGCAGAGGCTGGCAATGAAACATGGGTGAGAAGCAGGTGAATGCATACAGCCAGTTAAGAGCTGAGGATGGTAATGAAGAGGTGTAAAAGCATGCTGAGTTGAGAAATTGCCATGGCTTAGGTGGCATCCTCATCCCTCCAAGCTTTGAGAAAGGGTGGTGTAAAGTCTGTGGCATATACTTTGAAGAAGCAGTGGCTGAGTGGTGAGGATCAAGCAGTAATATTGGAAGAAGAGGTTGAGTTAGCATTGTCTTTTCCTGTGAGTCAGGGAAGATAGAAGAGTGGACACCACTGGATTTGGAGGAAAGTGGCTTCATTTA